ATCTTTCACTAAAAACACCTCTGAATGTGCCTTACTCTGGAATACTAAGGTTTCTCTACTTTGCTACACATTATAATCACCTGAGGGGCTTTAAGAACTCAAACCCTGCCCACGACCCCATTTTGGATTACCAGAATCTTTGGGGGAGGGGCCTTGTCATCAATACTTCTTAAATAATAGCTCCCCAGGTGACTGAAGTGTGGCCACAGTGGGAATCGCTGGGCTACCTGGATTTCATAGCCTTTACCAATGTCTCGGCTACGCTTGGTATGTGCTATGGACTTCAGGAGCTCTACAGCTAATGACAATGTGATTCCAGGTGAGTTCTAGAAACAGGGCTATAGTCTATGGAAGACTGAGGGAGTTTACAATTTCTCCTACAAAAACGCTATAGTTGAAGGAAAAGGAATTGGCCAATTGGTCAAATAAAGAATAGGTACACTAAGTTACCCTTAAAATTTAAATTTTTCAAGGAGGAATGGGCATCAAGAAAATAATACCCATTAGAATAATTCATCTAAAGATGGTTATTATTCCACAATACCTTTTTGGCTTCCTCAGCTGTGATGGAACTTCCAGGGGCTTCATCTTTGGTGATCAGAGTAATTCCATCTAAAAAGTAATTCAGAGTGAAATCCCAGGGCGAAGCAATCCCAATCATACCTTCCCCTCCACCACACCTCCTCCCATATCTGCATTAGAGATTTTTAAAACTCCACAGGTGCTCTTCTCTAAAAGAAATGGAAGACTGTGAAGGCACTTAACTCACACTGTTCCTTCCATCTTATATTATCCTGTTTCCTACTTAGCCTGTGTAAAATAAAGGCCACATCTCAAATGCTAACTGCTGCATGAAGTCTTCCCTGATTAAATCTCTCCTTCAGAGTTTTCAGATCACTCTGTTTATGCCTTTGAAGTTGCTGTCATCGTATCTTACCTTGTGTAACTATGTGTACATATTTTTTCTCTCCTAATGGATCATACTTTTCTCAAGGGCAGGGAATGGGTTTTATTCATCTTTCTATTCCCTTCAGTGTAGGCATGGCACAAGCTCAGTAAATAAATAACTGAATGACTATATACTTTGGCCCAAACCCATTAGATACCCAATATAGGAAGCTGCAGACATTTTTAGCTCAGTGAGAGCAAATCAAGGATAGAAAATCTACCCTTTAGTTTTCTCTTCTTCCTAAGATTTTCTTCTGCCTCAAATGGCTGATGCATGATAAACTTTCAGAAAAGCACATACATTTAACATCCATTTGTACCTAGAAATGGCACAGGTCATGTGTATTAGGATATAAGTTCTCAGAAAATATGTACCTTGTGTATGTCCTGTAAGTTTCCTTTCAGCAAACAATATGCTGCAGGCAATCAATAAACACCAAAACCAATCTCCTTGGCAGCAGAGACACCAGAGTGATTTGAGTAAGCCCCATTCACCACCTATTCTAATTGCTTTTGCTCCCCAGTGTAGAAGTTAAAGGGCTGAAAAATTAACTGTCAGGGAAATACTTGCCTGAGTGATGAAAAGCTGCCCCTTAGAAGCTGGATAGATAGATATGCAACTCCTTTTTACAGAGTATGCACAGAAAGACAGGTTGAAACTAATCTGAGGGCCCTACTTCAAGTGAAAAGTTTCATAATTTACAACATCATTGTTTTCATAAGAGGTATTTTTAATAGGTAGTAGCTTATACTTGGTTCTGAAAGAAAATCAAGTCAGGTGAAAAAAAAACAGGCAAAGGGCATGAAGGAAATCCAACATCAAGCCTAACACTGAAAGAGTGTGTGCTGCCTTCTTTCTAGGTTAAGTTTGCATTGGTCACTGTGAATAAGTGAGGGAGTGGCTTTGGTGCATGAAGACGCTGGTCTGCTGATACGGAAAGCCCAAGAACATACTCATGAAAGGTAGCAGGAGGGCAAAATGTGGGTGAGGTCAGTGACAGTGCTGTGGGTCAGGCAGGACAGAGGGTCTAAGAATCTAAGGGGGCAGTGTTTGCCCACACAGGTCCTTCCAACAAACAGAAAGGTAACATCTTCAGGGCGCCTGGGTGGCTCAGTTGTTAAGCGTCTGCCTTCGGCTCAGGTCATGATCTCAGGGTCCTGGGATCGAGCCCCACATCGGGCTCCCAGCTCAGCAGGAAGCCTGCTTCTCCCTCTCACACTCCCCTTGCTTGTGTTCCCTCTCTCTCGCTGTCTCTCTCTCTCTGTCAAATAAACAAAATCTTAAAAAAAAAAAAAAAAGTTTCCATCTTGGAAATGGGTCTTGCTGCACAGAGTTCAAGACAGGACTTACATGTTTACTTATTATTTATCACTTTTTATTTATGCTCATTAAGCAAGATTTTTCGTTCACTGAATCCTGAGCATTTTCCCAAATCCACACGGAAAGTCACCAGGTTGCCATATTTTACATTTAGGTTTAGAAAAAAAGAGCATAAATATTTGGAGAAAATGACAGAAGACACCTTACCCTGCACGACAATTTCCCAGAAATGATTTAACTGTTTCATTTCCACTTTCTCTCGAAGGGTTTTCAGGAAATTGTTAAAGCGCTGCTCTTCTGAAAACTGGGGCAGCATGTGGGGGCAGAGCAGATACAGAAACAAGTCACTCCCAGGACAAAGGGCTATATATACAAACCCACCGTTATTAATAAGAAAAATATATAATGTCCTCCCTTTGGTAAATGGGAGGTCTGGCCTGTCATTCCAAATTTCAGCTTGGTTTGCTGGGAACCAGAAATCCTTCCATCTGTGGAAGGTACACACCTGCTCAGAACCACACCGGTTTTTCGGTGCTGTGCTTTTTAACCTTCAATACAGACAAAGTCAAACAAAAATAGAAGACTTTCATGAATGCTCAATATGCCCATCACCCAGCTTCAACAACTGTCAACTCAGCCAGTCTTGCTCCGCATATACCCCAATCTTCTCCCACAACCCTGGGTTTGTTCGGAAGCAAACATCAACCATGTTATGTCATCTATAAATATTCCGGTATGCAGTATCTAAAATCTAAAAAGAGAGGGACTTTTTAAAAAATACGAAAAAATTAGTAGTAATTCCTTAATAGGAGTAAATGGCCAGTCAGTATTCACATTTTCCCAATTACAAACCCTTTTTCTTTTTCGTGTGTGTGTGTGTTGTATAGTTTTGCAGTTAGAAAAGGTCTCTATATTAAGAGTGGCTGATATGTCTCTAGAGTCTCTTTTGATGCTCTTCCATCTCTCCCTTGCTTTTTAAAAATTTTTATTTTAAGAAATCAAGTGACCTGGTACTTTAAAGGACAGTTGATGACAACAGGGCACTGAAGTGTTACTGGGCACTCCATCTAGCTGAGGGCAATGCTAAAAAAGCAATACACTTTCACTACCTTTTCCCACCTTACCAGATCCTTCTTCACCTGGGGCATCCTTAGTCCTATTCTGACTGTCCATATTTTGTCTTTTACCTATAGGGCATTTGGATCATCTACTTCTACCCTAATTTTAACAATTTTCCCATTTTCTTATCATTCTTTGTAAGAACCTAAACAATTCAAGAATTATTTTGTTCACTCAGCCAATATTTAATAAGCACCCACATGAGAACATATACTACAACTGTGCCTACTTTAAAAATATACTTTCTAATTTAAACTTGCTCACTCTTGCCTAGAGTTTATGTATAAAAGCCTAGAAATAATTTGGAAGATTTTCACAGTGTTTTCTCAAAATTCCTAATAAAACAAATAAAAAAACCTACATAAAAAGTGGGGTGTGGTGCTGATTAATTAATTTTCAGCGTTAATTTTTCCTGGCATTTCAGATCCCTACTCCCGTCTTCATAAAATCCTTCTCAATAATTACACCAACACATATTTTCCACCAATTTCTTTAAAATAACTTAGCTGGTCCTTTAACGGGTGGGTCACCAGAGGTTACAATGGAAATTTCCCTGGTTTGCTGGCCAGGAACCATGCAGCCAGGGCTATGATGTAATAAAAAACTGACTCCCAGGGACGAAGCATCCCGTTCATCCCACCCATCTTTATGCCCCCTCAGAAACGACAGTGACAGTAAAAAGACTTAGTCATTTTGGCATCTCTTGGCAAACACAGCTATTCAGGGTGAGAACAACGATTTCCGAAGCCTACGCTTACTTGCGGGGTGCTGTATGTCTCCCCTGTGATGGTAGCTAAGCATCCAGGAAGAGGAAGACAGGCTGGGATAGCATTACCTGAATGGCTTCTTCCCGGAAGACTGTGATGCAGTCCATGCTCTTCATAAAATACGGCGTTTCATTAGTATCCAGAAACTGTTCAATGTGATTTATTAGCTGGCAACTTGCTAGAACATAAGACAACAAATTTATTTTCCTTGTTTTGAGTGACGTCGGTTAGAGAGAGTACATGCTTTGTGTGCCTGTAAGTATATATTATGGTTCAAGAGCCTCATGGTCAGTATGCACAAAAGCTATTCTTCTTTGAGCGGGGGCAGATGGGAAGGGCAGGTGAGATGCAAAATGCTGATTCTGAAAGTCTGCATTCGAAAAGTTTGAGAATACTTACTGATACCTGTCAAGAAATAAAATTTAATTTCTACAATGCTTAGAATTATGCCTAAGTGTTCCTTAGGGGACTAACACTAAATGGTTTTTTTAAAAAGTTGTGGTTCCTTTTTGTTTTCCCCCCAGAATTTCGGGGCCATTTGGGTAATTCCAAACTGTCTTTCCTGATACAGTCACAGAAAATAGATCCTCTAGTCCCTCCCCTAATCCTACTCATGATAAACGTTAAACAGTGCCAGACAGAGAAGAGTAATGCGCCAGGGACACCCCATCTTCTATCAGTCACAGGTCAAATTAGAAAAGATCAGCCTTTGTCTTAATTTAATAATATCCCTTTAGAATGAAGAATCATTGCTACATATCTTCTGCCCTTGAACCTGAATATTCTCTCTGTTGCTCAGTATTCTACAAGCCATGAACACTTAATAAACAATAACTGTCAGCAATGTCATAAATTCTACAGAAAGAGGAAATACATTATTAATGTTATTGTTTCTAAGACAGGTTGCAACTTGAGGCTGCCTAACAAAGAGTTTTCAGTAAGGAAAAGAGAAACATAAAGTCATCAGGGAATATAAGTCACTGAGCAGATTGCAACTGACCCTTACAACTGGTATAGAACAAACCAAGGAGATGTACACATTCATGGCATAAAGGCTCAGTCTTACTTGTGCCCTGAAACCACTCACTCGCTGGCTGGGAGGGCAATTTATGCTGAACGGTCAAGGTGCGGCCACAATCATGGCCTCGTCTGAGCATCGTAATAGTTATGAATGGGTACAGTACTAATGAAACTACTTTCAAGGCTTGCCTATAAAGGCTCGAGGCCACTAACTTAATCACAGTGACCTGAGCACTGCTCAATGCCTTATGAAAGACATCAAATTCAGTGCCATCAACTTACATCCTAAGAATCCTATAGCATATGGAAAGGATTAAAACACTGGACAAAGCAGGGCGCCTGGGTGGCTCAGTCAGTTGAGCACCTGACTCTTGATTTCAGCTCAGGCCATGGTCTCAGGGTTGTGAAATCAGCCCTATGTTGGGCTCTGCGCTCAGCAGGGAGTCTGCTTGGGATTCTCTCTCTCCCTCTGCCCCTCCCCCCACTCTCATGCTCTCTCTAAATAAATAAAACCTTAAAAAAAAAAACACTGGACAAAGTGTTTCCTAATACAATAATTTTGCAGCAAGAGAAAAATATCCCCAGTAACTATTTCGTCTCTTCCACCAACTAGGAGATTATGATCTACATTATAATAAAGTACTTAGCAAACTTGAGGGATTAAAGAAACACTTCCTTGCAATTTCTGAAATCTTTACCAATGTATCCTGCAGCGGTGAATTAATACCCAACAATACAAAGGAGAGAAAGGATGTTTGGATGGGTCTTTTTAAACAAGGTAAATAACAAAGCCCTGATTAGTAGGCAGAGCGGAAAACCAACAAGCAGCTCAAAGCAACAGAAGCGATCTATCAGCTTGGAGCGGTCAAGTGACAGAAGGGTTTGACAGTGCTCCTCCAGCACTTACTGCAGCCTGCTTGCTCTGAAGAGACCCACGGAAAATCACTCAGAATTACATATCTAGCCACAAGAGCCTTCACAGGCCATGGGTAGTAATCCCAGAGATTCAGCATTCCTCCTTTCTTTTGAAATGAGAGCCAGGGACCTTAGTGAGCTGATGTGAATTTTTAAAAATCTCTGGTGACTGATTATAAGACATTTTCATGAATTAGCATGGCTTTTTTGCTGGGCAATGAAAAATAGAATTTGGCCATCATAGAGCAGAAAACAGAATGAGCAAAGTATGAAGAAGAGAGGTGGGAAAGGACAGGGTATGTCTGAAGAGAAGCACATGGAGTCCAGACAGGAGGAGGGGAAGGAGAAGAATCAGCTAGGGGAGAGGTGGGTGGTCTAAGAAGACAGCAGTCTGTGTGAGGGCGCTGAGGCAGGATGGGGCTTGGCTCCAGAGCAACTGCAGGGGAGAAGGGTTGAAGACCAAGCCTTTAAGGAACTGCAACATTTAGAGCTCATGGAGAGAAAACAGAGTTGACAAAGGAGCTAAGGAGTGTTGAGGGAGACACACGAAAACCATGAGGGTATGGTGCCAAAGATGCTAAGAGATTAAAGAGGAGAGCTGTCTGCTGTGTCCAAACTATGACATAAAGACTGCAAAAAAAAAAAAAAAAAAAAAAAAAAGAGTATAAAAAGCACAAGGGATTAGGTACCGAAGCTTAGGGAGTCCTTAAACCCAGGAGCCCATATATCAACTAAATAGGGACTGAACTGCTTTGCAAAAAACAGTTCCCTGACCCATTTTATCTTGATATATGATGGTGCGTGCGCGCACACACACACACACACTTGCCATCTTACAGGCAAAAGCAGAAGTCAATAATCCATTTGCAATAATGATACAGGAAAGAAGGGATAAAAGAAAAGGAAGCAGGAGTCTCAACATCTACTTTCTACTGGAGAGTGAAGTTCTTACGTATTTGTGGGCCTATATGGATTGAGTTTTCTTACATGTTAGACTGTCTTTCCCTCCAGGAAGTTCAGGAACACAGGGAGATAAATATATCCACACCTGCAATAAATCCAATGAATACGAAGAACCAGATTCTGCCCTTCCAGGAATCATCGGTTACATGGCCTGTGCATCTGGCCCATGATTCTGAATTCTGTCAGTCTATCCAGACTATTTTGCAGTTCACTGACTATCATGAACCATTTAACACCAGCAAATAGCTGTGATGGATGATGCTTTAATATACTGAATATCACAATGGGATGTGGACAAGACTTCCCTTCCAAAGTCTGGTGGCATTTCATGTTTTCCTGCCATTTTTAATAAAAGTAAAATGCAGAAATGGCAGACAAAAATAATATTCTACTTTGGCTTGATGACGCTTTTGAAGCCCCCATCCTCCCCACCCCACATAAAGGAAATGCTGATCATCAGGGTGCTTGTCTCCGCTTCCACATCAATTACAGGGTATGGAATGGTCTGTCAGTCTTCATACTCAGTAAATCACAGTGCCAATTATAATTCACCAAAATGCTTTTCAGAATTAGTCAGAGGCTCAATAATACTCATTAGTAGCTAATATAAAAGATGGCCATTGAAAGAGCCATCCATCTTAGGCAAGGGCCGTCATTTATTTCAAGGAGTCTTCAAAATCAAAATGGTCTAAATTTTGAGGTTTTAAATATGGGCATTATATATTAGCCCAGCATCTTACATATGTAAAGATTGTTGATACACAAAATCAGTCTCAATAATATTTTAGTGTTAACACTAAAAATGCAACACAGATACAAAAGTTTTATGTATGGGGAAAATGGCAGAGTTTTTTTGTTTAGTCTGAAATGTATGTTCTCCCTCTCTAGAGAAAATATTCACCACTGCCCGAAATCCCAGAAAATGAATCACCTCTCTTCTTCACAGGGGCCAAAACACCTGGGGCCATGTGCTTGTCAGCTTCTAACTTGACATTTGTTTACTACCTCTGTTCTCTGCAAAGATGTTTCCAACAGAATGAAAGGAAGTCATTTATTGTGGGTTTTTTCCCCTTCATCGGACAGAGCCCAAACAGCAGTGGGTTCGCTCACCCGTCACACATTATATATAAAGGGCTGTAAAACCATCTCAAACGATTTTGCTCAACCCAGGCATCATTCAGGACATTTCCCAATTTAATCCTTCTCACTATCTCAATGCCTCCTGTGAACTGTACTTATTGAAGGGGTGCATATTTTACAGAAGTCGGCAGTTAAATTATTTTTAAATGTTAAGAACAGATTTACACAATGACAGTGGCATCTTCATAAAACAAACTTAAAAAGTGACGATATAAATTAAGCACTTAAATAAGTATATGGTCAGGTCAGTAATTAAAGAGAATAAAATAATAGTATCTATCGGCAAACAAAACTCAAAGCTAGTCCAGTCTGCCACCAATTAAATGCACATGTAAATACAATTACCATTTTAAGCCAGAAACTTACAAGAAACATCTGCCTGATAAGGAAATGAGTCTGTGTTTTAATACAGGCAGCTAGAACAGAAGCGGATCGCCAACAGGCTTATGGCTCTTTACTACAGGATAAATATTGGTCATCATGGATAGAAGCTGGGTATCTATCAGCCAGGGTCCAACCAGAAGAAGAGAAATCACTCTGACAAAGGAAGTGCAATGCAGGCAACTGTTACACAGGTGCTGAAGGGCTGTAAAGCCAACTGAAAATGGTGCTGTAACCCAGAGATTAGGAAGAGCAAGAAGCCCTCAGCACCCCTTGGCAGTGCAGGGGAAAGGGGAGAAAAGAGAAGAGAGAGGTAAAACAACTAGAGCTCAGGGGCCTGTCCAGTGGGAGCTGAAGCCATGGAGGACTGGAGATGCTGCCTAACAGAGAGGGAGGAAGAAATACCCCGGCTTCTCCCTCCCTCCTTGCCTCCTACCAATTTCCCACCAGGGTCTCCTGTTGGCTGAACCCTGTAGGAAGCCAGTTGTCATGGGAGGCTGCGAAATACAACCTGCAGGGGCTGGCTCCGTCCCGTCCCCACCCACCACCCAGATCTGGTACATACATGGGAGGGGCGAGGAGTGGGTCTAGGGGCCACTCCACACAGTGTTACTATGAACCCAGAGAGGTGGATGCCCCATTTTATGCACTGGATAGATCCTGGAGACACAAAATTAACAAAGTATTCTTTAAATAATAAAGGAAGATAAAATGTATAGGTTTTTTTCTTTCCTTCTTTCTAGTGAGAGAGAATACAAC